GGTGCACTGAGGGTATTCAGAAAGGATAAGGCTCCAGAGATTAATTGAATACAAACTGAAAATTTTCAAAAAGCTGATGTAGCTCTGAAGGCACTCACTCATCTATGGCAGGAAATTTAAAAGACCTGGCCAACTGATTGGAAGAGATCCATATTTGTTCCCATTCCAAAGGGAGGTTACTAATGGGAATGTGAAACTCATCAGACAACATCATAATATCACATGCAAGTAAAATTTTGCTAAAGACAATCCCAAAATGGTTGCACACTACAGTGACAGGGAGCTGCCAGAGATTCAGGCATGGAATGAGGGTTAGTATTGTTGACTTTAGATGGGTTTTGTCTGAAAGCAGAGAATAGCAGAAAAATGTTTTTTGACTATACAAAGGCTTTTGACTGTGTGGATTATGACAAGCTATGGAAAATATTGCAAAGTATGAGTATTCCACAACATTAAATTGTGTTCTCAGGAACCTGTACATATACCAAGAGTCAGTTATTCAAACTGAACAGTTGAAAATCAGGAAAGGTGTGTGCCAGGGTTGTATTCTTTCACCATACTTATTCAATCTGTATACTGAGCAGATATTTCGAGAAGTTGGCTTATGTGTAGAAGAACATGACATCAGGATTGGAAAAAGAGTCATTAACAAATTACAATATTCAGATGATACAACCTTGCTTGCTGAAAGTGAAGAAAATTTAAATTATTTACTGATGAAGATCAAAGACCACAGCCTTCAGTATGGGTACACCTCATCACTGGACCAGTAAACATAATACATATAAATGTAGGAAAAATTGAAGTTGTCAGTCTTATTTTGCTTGTATCAACCATCAACGTACATGGAAGCAATAGTGAAGAAATCAAATGACTTATTGCATTAGGCAAATCTGCATATGACCTCTTTAAAGAGTTCAAGAGGAAAGATGTCAGTTTGAGAGCTAAGGTGTGTCTGACCCAATCCGTAGTATTGTCTATAACCTCATGTGCATGTGAAAGTTGGACAATGAATAAAGACTATTGAAGAATTGATGCATTTGAGTTCTGGTGTTGGAGGGGAATGTTAAAAGTACCGTGAACTGCCAGAAGAACAAACAGATCTGTTTTGAGAGAAGTACAGCCAGAATGCTTGTTAGAAGCCAGATTAGCCTGACTTCGTCTCTCATACTTGCGACATATTATCAGGAGGAACCAGTCCCTGGAGAAGGACATCATGTTTGATAAAGGAGGAAGTACCCCAATGATATAAATTAGCACAGCGGCAGCAACAATGGGCTCAAGTGTAGCAATGATTGTCAAGGTAGCAGAGAACTTGGTAGTGTTCTGTTTTGTTGTGTGTAATATCCTTATGAGTCAGTACTGAGTCAACGGCATCTAACACCAAAAACAATAGCTGTTATTGTTGAGTGGAATATTTCTTCAGTTCTAGTAGAGTTTGAGTTTTGTGTTTTGAGGCTCTTTCATTAGGAGGATAGATACGTATTATGCATTTGTATTATGGCTCTTGTTCAATCGATCCTTCAATCATGATACGTTGTTGTTGTTAAGTGCTGTCAAGTTGGTTCCGACTCACAGCAACCCTATACAGGGTTTCTGAGGAGCAGCTTGTGGGCTTGTGCTGCCAGCCTTGTAACTCACATGATACAGTGTCCTTCTTTGTCTCTTACGCTGGTTTTTGCTTTAAAGTCTAATTTATCATTTTGATTGCTGTTAGCTTGATATCATTTTTTCCCTCTCCTTTGATTTTTCCATCTGGTTTTAGCTTTATAAATAAGGTGTGTCTCCTTATTTCTTATCCATTGTGTTTTCTTATCCATTCTGCTACTCTCTGTCTCCACTCATGCATTTAATCCCTTTACATTTGAGTATGATAATAGAAAAGTATGAATTAATTGTCATTTTGCTGGTTGTTTGTGTGTGTGTGTGTGTGTGTGCATGTATGTGGTGTTGCTGGTTTCTTTTTTCCAGTTAATTTTCTGCACAGAGTTCATTTTTTATGTGTGGGTTTTCTTGTCATATTTTTGTTGTTTGACTGTTGTTTAAGTGCTTATCAAATCTTTGTAATTTCACCTTTTTATTTTGATGTTAAAATAGATTAATTGTCTTTGAGGTTACCACATAATTTATCAATTTCTTCCTCAGTTTAACGCAGTCTGTTTTACCTTGAACTTTACTTGACTTCGTTGGTTGCATCTGGGTTGTATGGACATGCTTTCTTTCTTTGTTTGGGTGAGAAAAGAAGCAAAAATACATACAGAGAAGAAAATAAAACATAGCACATAAACATACAGTAGTGAAAAAAGAAAACAAGAAAGGAGAAAAAAAGCAGGCAGCATCAAGAAAAAAGTATATAATATCTAAGAAGAGAAAAGGCAAACAATAGAGTTGAGTTATAGTAAAGAAAATAAGAAACAATTAAAACATACACACACACAACTAGACAAAACCAGGGAGAGGGAAGATGAAAAGTGAAAGACACTTGAGATTAGTAAAGATCAAGAAAACAAGAGAAGTAGAGTTGAGAATTCAGAAACAGAAGGAAAGAAAAAAAAAAAAGCAGAAACAGAAAAGATTAAAGGGAAGGAGAGTGAAAGAGAAGATGACGGCGATGAAAGAATAACCAAAAAGAAACAATGAAAGGACAAAAAACTAAACATTGCAAGAAAGAAGAAATACTGCTAACTGCAGCGTCAGCAGTTCAAATCCAGTCCTCAGAAACCCTACACTGTGTTTCTAAATCAGAACCAATGTAAGGGCACTTAACAACAACAAAAACCTGTTCATCAGGGAGCTCTTGAGGTGGTTGTGGAAGGGATGAGATGGCAACATTCCAGTCCCTCAATGTAGTTCCTATACGCCCAGGAGCTGTCTGTCTGGACCAAAGGGTTGCCAGCAGTGAGGCACCGAAACTCCTGACAGTTCAAGACTGATCAGGCGGCTCTGCAGGCTTGTATATCTGGAGGAGAACTATTGGGGCTTAGGCCTAGAAAGTTAAAAAAACCAAAAAACAAAAAAGCCTTCTGTTTACGTAGGTGTCGAGAGATTAAAAAAAAAAAAAACTGACCAGAAACCAATCAAAAAGACCTTAGTTCATTACAGAAAAGAAAAATAAAACAGAGCTGGTGTCTTAGGCTGAGTTTTCTAGAGAAGCAAAACCAGTGAAACAATTTAAATGTGTATCTATAAAGAGAAGTTTATTACCAAGGAAATCAAGGAAATCACTTACAGTTGTAGGATCCCAGGTCCCCACTAAAAGAGAGAGAGGGACTTTCCCATGTATCCATTATATTGGGTTCAGGCCACACCCCCAAGGAAGCATCTCTTTAGTTGATTGGCAGCTCATAGCCACTCATCATAGAGTTAACTACGCTTATATTAAATTTCATCACTATGGGAATAAGCATATCTTAACTACTAAACCATGGGAATTCTGGCCTTGCCAAGTTAACACAAAACTCTATTATAATCCATACTTGTCAACTTGATGTCTATAAACTAATATGTATAATTGCTAATTTAAAAAAATTGCACACCATCAAGAGAGAAGAGCATGAGCAGAATGTGGGACCCTATCTAGAGATAGCAACACCAGAGATGGAGGCAGAGATGAGGACATGGAGAGTTAGAGCAACTGAGGACTCATGGAAAGAGAAAGACTGGGTGCTGGTGGCCTGGAGGCAGGGTTGCAGAATGTGCCCATTGGTTGTTTAAATGATTATATATTCCTGAGTGTTTTGTGTACATGCCCAAAGCAACAACAACAAAACAAAACAAAACAAAATAGAGGGACTAGAAGCAAATACTGTTGAACGATGATGCACGGAGGAGATTGAAATCATTGCAATGAAATGAGTGTAAAGCTGATATTCTCCCATGTAAACTCTCACTCAGTTCACAATAAAAACTAAGAAAAAAAGGGCAGCATTTACCTAAAGACAAATTCCAGAAGGGTTGGAAAAGAAGGAGGTGTGGAAATAAGAAATACAGAGAGCAAATGGGATACCTGATGTTACATGGAGGGGATTGTAATCATTGAGATGAAATAAAGTGTATGATTTGTTGAATGTAAAACTGATGCTATGCTTTGTAAACCTTCACTCAATTCACAATAAAAAGTTAAAAAAAATTGCAAAGTCATACTTGCACCTAACATGGTATAACGAAAACACATCCAATTGAAAGTGTACTGGCCTCATTTACATCTTACATGTCCCAATGAATGGGGATTGGGATTCCTCAGCATGGAGCTTTGCTTTGTTTCCGGTGGCTACTCTCCCTGACGTCCTTCCCTTTTGTAAGGCTATCATTTCATTATGGTCTCATGGCCAGTTTCTGTTGCTTGGTCTCTCATGGTCTTTAAACCAAAAAACCAAACCCATTGCTCTTAAATTGATTTTGACTCATAGTGACTTTGTAGGACAGAGTTGAGCTATCCCATAGGGTTTCTGAGGTTGTAATCTTTATGAAAGCACACTGATACATGTTTCTCCTGTGGGATAACTTTGAGTTTGAACTGCCAAGTTGAGTGCTTAACCACTACACCAGCAGGGCTCCTATGGAAGCCAGTTTAAAATTTTAGAAACTGAACCCATACTAGAACCTTAGGAACTTGCCTTTTGTGACTATAAAAGGGCCCTCCTGACTCTGACTGCTTTTCTCAGTGGGAAGCTCAGTGTGGAATAGCCAATGCAGCCAGTCTGACTGCTACTGTTAGAGGAAGCCCAAAAGTGCCACCAAGCAGCATGCAGTCCTCATGCAAATATCTGCTTTGCACATCCAACCTGGACCATGTTGGAGAATGTGGTTTCTAATGGAGAGGAGAGCCGTTGCTTGTCACTCCTAAAACTCTAGCTTCTCATAGCTCAGCTATACTTTCCGTGACATTTCGGTGTGAAAGCTTTGGCTGACTCTTGGGCATACTCCTGAGTCTGGCTGACAATGACTGGAGGCAGCTGTGATTTTCCATGGATGATACCTGTTCCTTTATTGTCTTCTAGATCTCACACTGATTTACCACGTCTCTTCAGCTTCAGGTCTAAAGATGCCGCCATCACTGAAAGTACTCCTTTACTGAAGAATTCTTCACAAGAACGAGGGTGAGATTCTTTTTTCTTCCTCTGAAATGAAGGAATTTCTAGGCATTGATACTTAGGCTTGGGAATTTCTTCTGTAATGTGAATTTTTACCTGCTGTGCTTGGTGTGGTGCACGGTTCTCATGGCTAGGGTCTATGGTGTTTGTGGGATGATAAGAATGCTGCACTGGTTGACCTACACACATGCACACATGTGCACACACACACACACAGAGGTCGTCTCACTGGCCCAGTACTTCTCACCCAGGATAAGGCTGGCCTTATCTGAAGATGTTGTGAAGGCAGTTACAATTTGGGGGTGGTGCCACTGGCATTTTAAGGTGAAGATCAGGGCAGCTGATGAACACCCTGCCATGCCAAGGACAGCACCCATCACATTGAATGATCTGAAGTTGAGAAATCCTGCCCTGTCCCCCCCAGCACCTAAACTGTCTAAATTCATGAGGACTATGAAGCAGGATTTGCACACATGTGGGTCTGGTGAGGCAGGGACCAGGTAGATATTCACTTTCCCACGTCTCCATTATCTCTGACACCATCTACCCCTCCCGTGGAACTGTCTACCTGCTGGGTTTGATAATTCATTGCAGCAGACACATAGAGCTCGGAGATCACGCTCAACAGCTATGTGGTTTATTAAGGATATAACAGGCTGCAACTTGGGAGTAAAACAACTTTGGAGTAAAAGGAACAATTTGAAATCAGCTCAGGAAACGCACAGGCAAAAGGGTCCCTGATGTAGAGAGCACATCCTTTCCTTCTGCAATATAGGACAGCTTTGTCAGAATCTACTTGATGGCAGTAGGTGTGGTTTTGTTTTGAGTTTCTAACTAGAACAGCACACTGCTTTCCACTGCCCGGTCTCTCTGCCATCAGGCCTTGCCACCCTTGGGTCTCTTTGCCATGGACCTCTCCATACCTCGTTGATATAGTATAGCAACTCTTAGTTCTCCTCTGCTTAGATCTTTCAGCTGCTCTCTGCTGTCAGACCTCTATGCTATTAGGCAAACTGCCTTGAGCCTATGTGTTGTTGACCTTTGTGCTGCTGACTGGTCCATCTCATAGCCAGTGGAGCAGCCTGCTCCACTCTCTCAGCTGCTGCTTCCCTTGCAAGAGCTCTCTGCAGTTGGACCTCTCTGCCATCAGATTTCTCTGCTTCCCAGCACTCCTCTGGGAATTGGCCTACCTTATACCCAATGTATAAGCTCTGGTAACATAGTGGTTACAAATTGGGCTGTGAACTTCAAGGTCAGCAGTTTGAAACTACCAGCTGTTCCACGGAAACCCAGTACAAGGTCGCTATGAGTCGGAAGTGGTACAAAGATTTACAAGGTACAAAGATTTCCAGCCTCAGAAACCCTGTACAAGGTTGCTATGAGTCGGAACCGACTCCACGGAACATAACAACAACATACCCAATGTGGTAGGTTTGGAACTACTCTGCTTTCATGTGGCTCTACTCCTCTTCTAACCCAAGTCTTAGCTGGCAGCTCTCTTGTTGTTGCTGTTGTGAAGATGCCGCTGAGTTGGATCCAATTCATAGCAACCCTCTGCATAATAGAATGAAACACTGCCTGGATCTGCAACCTCCTCACAGTTGTTATGCTTGAGCCCATCCCTGCTGACATGGCATCAATCCATTATGTTGGGGGTCTTACTCTTTTTCACTGACCTTCCACTACCCCAAACACAAGATCCTTCACGGAGTTCTGGTAGCATAGTGGATACAAAGTGGGTTGCTAACCTCAAACTCAGCAGTTCAAAACTACCAGCTGTTCCGTGGAAGAAAGATGAGGCTTTCTACTCCTGTAAAGATTTACAGCCTCAGAAACTGTATAAAGGGTTGCTATGAGTAGAAACCGACTCCATGGCACATAACCACTACCACCAGTGCCCTTCTTTAGAGACTGGTACCTCTGATAACATGTCTGAGGTATGAGAGACAAAGTCTCAAAATCTTGGCTTCAAGGAGCAATCTGTACTTTTTCTAAGACAAGTTTGTCTATTCTTTTGGCAATCCATGGTACTTTTAGTTTTCTTCTTTAACACCATAACTGAAGTGCATCAATTCTTCTGTGGTCTTCCTTATTCATTGTCCATTTTCCACTTTTATATGAGGGTATTGAAAATGCTAAGGTTTGGGTCAGACACACCTTAGTCCTCAAACTATTATCTTTGTGCTTGAACACTTTAAAGATTTCTTGTGCAACAGATTTGCCTAAAGCAATATGTCATTTGGCTTCTTGACTGCTGCTTCCATGATTGTTGGTAATGGATTCAAGCAAAATGAAGTCTTTGAAAACTTCAGTTTCCTCCATTTATTACAATGTTACTTGTTGGTTCAGTTGTGAGGATTTTTTTTTTCCTTCTCATTGATGGTCCAACCCATGATCTTCATCAGTATTTTAAGTCCTCTTCGCTGTCAGCAAGCAAGATTGTATCATCGGTATACCACAGATTGTTAGGGTCTTTTTCCAATCTTGATTGTTTTCCACAGGTAATTAAGCTTTTTGGATTATGTGCTCTTCATATAGATTGAATGAGTATGGTGAAAGAATACAACCCTGGCACACACCTTTCCTGATTTTAAACCAATGCTGCCCCCTTCTTCTGTTCACATGACTACCTCTTGGTCTTTGTACAGGTTCTCATGAGCACAATCAAGTGTTCTGGAATGCCCATTCTTCACAATGCTATCTTCACAATGCTATCCATTACTTGTCCTGATCCACACAACTGAAAGCATTTTTATAGGCAATAAAGCACAGGTAAGTATCTTTCTGGTATGCTCTGGTTTCAGCCAAGATTTGTATGATCATCATGTTCTTGTCTGAATCCAGCTTGAGTTTCTGGCAGTTACCTGTTACGGTACTATTATTGTTGTTTTTGAATTTTTTTAAGAAAAATTTTACTTGCATAGTGACCTTAATTATATTGTTCAATGATTTCCACATTCTCTTGGGTAGCCTCTTTTTGGAATGGGCACAAATATGAATCTCTTCCAATCAATTGACCAAGTAGCTGTCTTCCAGATTTCTTGGCATAGATGAGTGAGTGCCTCCAGTACTGCATCAATTTGTTGAAAAGATTTCAATTTGTATTCCATTAATTTCTAGAATTTTTTTTTTTTTTTTGGCCAATGTCCTCAGTTCACCTTGGACTTCTTGCTTCAGTATCATGTATCATTGGCTCCTGATCAGATGCTACTTCTTGAAATGGTTGAACATCAACCATTTCTCTTTGGTGCAGTGACTCCGTGTATTCTTTCCATCTTCTTTTGATGCTTTTTGCATTGTTCAATATTTTGGCCAAAGAATCCTTCAGTATTGCAAGTTGAGGGTTCAGTGTTTTATTCCGTCCCCTGAGAAATGCTGAGTGTTTTCTTCCTTTTGGTTTTCTAACTCCAGGCTCACATTTTATTGTAATATTTGATGTCTTTCAAGCTGCGCTTTGAAAAGTTCTGTTCAGCTCTTTTACCTCCTCATTTCTTCCATTTGTTTTAGCATCTCTACACTGAAGAACAAATTTCAGAGTCTCTTCTTGCATTCATTTGGTCTTTTCTTTCTTTTGTGTCTTCTTAATAACCTTTTACTTTCTTCTTGTATGATGTTCTTGATGTCATCCCACAATTCTTCTGGTCTTTTGTGATTAGTGTCCAATGCATCAAGTCTGTTCTTGAGATGGTCTCTAAATTCAACATCCTATTTCGGCTCTTGTGGACTTGTTTTAATTTTCTTCAGCTTCGGCCTGAACTTTCATCTGACCCGTTGATGGTCTGTTCCGCAATCTGTCTCTGGCCTTGTTTTAGTTGATGCTATGAAGCTTTCCCACTGTCTCTTCTCCCAGATATAGTCAATTTGATTCTTGTGTATTCCATCTGGTGAGGTCCATTTGTATAGTTGTCTTTTATGGTTTTGAAAAGGGTATTTGTAATGAGTAAGTCATTGGTTTGGCAAAATTGTATCATGTGACCTCCAGCATCAATCCTCTCACCAAGGCCACATTTTCTAACTTCTAATCCTTTCTCTCTGTTTCCAGCCTTCACATTCCAATCACCAGGAGTTATTAATACATCTTGATAGCATATTTGATCAATTTTAGATGGAGGAAGTTGGTAGAATTCTTCAATTTCATCTTCAATGGTTTTACAAGTTGGTGCAAAAATTTGAATACGAATAGGGGTAACTGTTCTTCCTTGTAGGTGTATGGCTACCATCCTATCACAGACAGCATTATACTTCATAATGGATGTTCAAATATTATTCTTGAATTTGTTGTTCTTGGCATAGTGAACCATATTATGGTCAGATTCACAATGGCCAGTACCTGTCCATTTCAGCTTTCTAATGTCTAGGATATGGATCTTTATATTCTAGTTCATTTTGACAGCTTCCAGTTTTCCCAGATTCATTCTTTGTACATTCCATCTTGTGATTCTTAATGGATACTTGCAACTGTTTCTCCTCAGTTTGAGTTGTACCCCATCATCAAATGGAAGTTCTAAAAGCTTTACTCCATTTGTGTCATCATGGTCAGCTCTACTTTGAGAAGTCAGCTCTTCCCCAGTTGTATTTTGAATGCTTCTAACCTGAGGGAGTAATTTTCTTGCACTATATCTGACAACTTTGCTATTCATAGTATTTTCATCTTCCACACTATAGTTGACAATGTTCTACTGCTATTCATAAGATTTTCAGAGGTGAAACATTCTGAGGTAGTTTGCTTCTCCTAGTCTGTCTTCGTCTGGAAGCTCGTCTGAAACCTGTTCACCATGGGTGACCTGCTGGCATTTAAAAAGTGGTATAGCTTTCATCATCACAGCAGCATGCAAGCCACCACAGTATGACAAGCTAACAGACTAGTGGTAGGACAGCTGTCTTAGCTGTGACTTATTTTTACCAGACCTGGGAGGGACTTCTGTGTCCCAAAGGTCACACTTTGTTTTCAGGTTCCTGTCAACCAGAAGGCTTTGAAAACAAGTGTATTTTATTTCTCATTAAAT